TACCGTGTGTTCTACATAAATTTTTGGAATGAAGCATTATGACATGTATGTCATGCTGTTCGATATTTGAACGAAACAATGATTGTTGTTATCCAGTTTGTTAATTGTGTATTTTGCAAAACAAACGGTCGATCCCATGTGATTCAATCGATTATATATACATATATTCGATCGATCAGAAAAATTTTTCTTATATATTAGATAAAACCCGATAAAATTATATGACACTATTTTTATATAACAATGGGATATCCGTAACTTTTTGCGTTGGATATAAATTTGATACTCTTGCGTGGGGATTTTCTGTAAAATTATATTAAAGATATATAATTTTCAAACAAAAGTTTCTGCTTATACATGTTAGCAAATATAAAAGAATATTTTTCTTTCGAATATTTAAAAAAAAGATAATAAACTAAATTTACAGTTTTTTTTTAATACGTTGCTACGCTAAACAAAACACAATAAATCTAAAATAATGAACTTTACACTTATTTTGCACTATATATCATAAATAAAAAAATATAAAAAAGGACAGTTATATAAAAAATAGTAATCGTTTATTTACTTTTTTTATTTTTTAAACTGTACGTTGATAATAGACTATCTAAAATATTAAAGTTGGAAAGTTTCCACGCGTCTTTCTTGTCGAAATGGCAAAAGAAAAAGTGTTCTGCATGCTAATTGAGGTTTTTAGTTAACAGTTATTAAAATCACTTTAAATAACACAATTTTCGTTTGCAGGTGGAGTCGGAGACACAGGCACGGCATGTCAGATGGATCGTCGCGTGACGTGATCGATTATCGGACGGGTTATATAAAATCGCATCTACGTTCGCCCTCAGGCAGGGTTCGGTGACTAAACACACCGAAAATCAAAGCAATAATTAAGAAATTATGGCAAAGCTACGTAAGTTGCATTGGCAGCGATTGGCCAAAATTATCGTCCAAGTGTAAGCATGAACTTGGCCACGAAATAGATTTATTCTACCAGTACTTTTAAACATTTTCTAAATCCTTAGAGCTACTTTGAAGCATTATTAATGATGCATCGTTCCATCAACATCAGTTATTTTTAATTAATCTTTTACTCAGTCAATCAAATCTGTCGAGAACAGATCTCTGCTGTAAATTTTATTGACAGAAAGATTACAGATTTGATATAAAATTTAGCATATGATACAGTTAATAGAATGTTGGCAAAAATATAACGACAATTTAACAAGATATAATGTTAGATTTTAATGTCCTTGCCAATATGATTAATGTCAATTTGGTAACAATTTCTGATGGAATTTGTTGTCAATCTACCAGCATACTGAGAACAGTTTGCTCACTGTTTCTCATATTAGTTCTGGCAACAAATAACAAAATTAATTTAAATTAAGTAAATAAAAATAAGTAAAGAATTTATTCTAAATCGAATACTTTTTATGATCGAATACTTTCTCAAATTTTTTTATTTATTATTTATTTATAAAAAAATATTAAGCATCTCAAGATGCTTACAGTTGAAATGCAAAGTTATTGTAGTACAATAAAGTTGTAAGGAAAAGTTATTTATCTCAAATCTTATAAAGAATGATTTATAAAGAGCTCATTATTAATCTTTTGCAGAAATATACTAACAAAAATAGAATATAGCTGATATTTTTATTTCATTGTTAATATTTTCTACTCTTTTATTACACCAATGATCATCTCTTAAAAAGCTACAATCAAGATACTCTACTACTACATAATGAACCCAAATACATCGGAGATATCTTTGTGGTATTAATGATATTAATGTACATGTAGATGTATGTGTGATAATTGTAGCTCAATTGAACATGGGAATAATAGCTCCATGGTTTAGTCAGGCGATTATATAAAATTTCTCTATGTGTATTCCATTACAGAAAAGCATATGAGGAAGACAAGCATTAATATATTAAAAAATAAAAGCGATACAGAATCGCTGAAATATCGATAAGCTCAATTTTCCATGTTAATATAGTGTATTGTCAGGAATAAATCAAAAAAGTTTAAATTTAATTTGTCGGTTTCAATTCGTTTTTAAACAAACCGTGAATAATGCTAGAAATAGTTTTTGGATCAAGATCTCCATTTGATCATTCTATACTATTCACGAATGTCATAAATATCGATATATTGTTATTAATGAAAATTACAAACAAATACAAATAATACATAAAGACAATCAGAAATAGCAAATTAGCTCTAAAGCCATTTTTTCGTCTGTAAAGATATTGTTACTCGTATAATGGATAATTGTTTGTAGTAAACGTATCGAAAATATAATAATTTACAATGTCTTACTGCAATATGTTTGACTCATAGTGATATTTTTATCTCACGGAATTAGAATTAATATAACAGAGTTGATAGTTTTATTTAAATTCTAAATGATGAGTAATAAGTCTTGAACTTTCTCTACCATAGTGTTCCAAGGATTTGTGATGACTATAAAATGAGAGATATTTAATATCCTAAAAATATTCGATATACGTGACATTAATTCACGATATATATATATATATATATATATATATATATATCGTTATCATATAATATTGAATTTCATAAAATTAACATAAATCGAAATTTGAGAATTGTTAAGGTTCGTGATCAGTTTAGAATCTGTTATGATGATATTATATAACTAATATCTCGTCAAACTCAAATGAAAATATCTGTATACATAAACTTCTCTAAATTAAGTCTTAAAGTCTTAATATATTAATCGTAAATATATTTTTATAAGTGTTACATAGAACGTTTTCATAGAATCATTTTATTCCGATTATTCTTCTTCCGATTATATCTTTCATGAATTCATTCATAGCAATATCTAATTATTTCTATTTGTATCAATCAATTGTTCTGTATGTATAGAATTATAATATCATCTAAATTTTGCAATCAATTTTCATATTTTGAATATAAAAATATGTTGGAAGATAAGTCAATAGATTTATTCATTTGTATAATATAGTGTCAATTACATAAACGTTAATTAAACGACGATTGTAATTATAATATTTATAAAAATATAATGCAATAGAGATGTTAGTTTAACAATGATATACGAGGAAAATGTGAAGCGAATGTGATTGTATAATAAATCAATAATAAATCTAGTTTAGTAACTGTAATCCCTTTTATGGCCATTCTTTTCATTCTTGGAAAAAAACTATAAGTCTAAAATATCTGTTTAAAACAATTCAGTTTCGCTGCAGAAAATCCTTCACGCGCTTTTGCGTACTGGATGTATTGGATGTTCCATATGAGACAAATCGGGCGGATGTTTCTCAAAGTAAGCGAGCTTCCGCATTCCTTCCGCCGCAATTTCCCAGAGATCGGGATGCTTATGTTTGAAATTGTCATACCATTTCGCCACGTAAGGCCATGCATCCAATTTAAAATCAATAACCTCTAGACACATTGTTGCGGTTATCAGTGGAAAATCGGCGATCGTTAAAGTATCTATGCAGAAACGTATATACATACAGAACTTGAGAATTGAAAATTCATTAATTTCTTTTATCATTATAGCGAATAAAGGAATAACTTACTGCCTGCTGCATATTCGGAATTTTCGCGTTGCAGATAGCTATTAAAGGTATCTAACGCTATTTTCATTTTCTTCAGACCCAAAGGCGTACGTTCATAATCAAAGAATATCGGCATCAACTGTAACACAATTATAGATTAATATATGTATATATAAACGCAACGAGAATATGAGAGCTCAATTGGACTTACAGTATATTCGCAAATGTTACGATAATAAAACGCTAGATTGAAACATAGACGATGATTGACAATCGCACGCAACTTCGGTTCTTTTGGATACAATTTACCGCTCGTATCATACTGGTCAGCTAAATATTGCAGAATGGCATTGCTGTAATGTAATGCAAAAATAAAAAAAATACAAATTTGATTTTTGCATAAATTATGCAAAAGTCAAATGCTGCTATAAAAGTATATAATACACATTTCTTTTTTTCTATCTTACAGCGTGAAGCTAGAATCTCAGCAAACTAATAGTAACATTATATCATATATCAATATTATATCAAATTATATAATTTTTCACTCAGCAATATTAATGTAATGTCATTATTACTTTGTCATTATTACTGAAATAATATATACATTTACGTGTGTGAGAAATATAATTGTCTAAAAATGAGAGGAATTCATTTTTGAATTTACAATATGCAAAAGTATCCTCTTTAATTTTTATAACTTTAAGTTTTAATAAATATTCAGATAACATAAAGTCCAAAATCGAGATATAAAATAATTTAAAAATGTATTAAATGTCTTTAAAATTTACAAATATAACAAATATAAAATATAACTGTTATATAATATAAGAATAATTTATGATATAATAATGTTGTATCTTAGCTATGTTTTATTGTATTTCATTTTATATAGGATGTCTCAGGGTTGGAGAGTACGAACCGCATTGGGAGTATAGAAGAAATTAAGAGGAACGAAAAAGTCTAATACCATTTTGTAATGGTCTAATTTTCGAGTTATAGTATAAAATATCCAAATAAACCAATAAACCAATAACCAAAGCGGTGACGTCGCGTCAAAGCACGATTTACTGCGCCTAGCTTGTGGGCGCGCACCGCCCACGAGCGCGGATTCGAGCTTCGGATTTATTGATTCGGATAGTTTATTTTATAATTGGAAAATTAGAACGAATATCACAAAATGATACTAAACTTTTTTGTTCCTCTTGATCTCTTCTACATCCCCAATGCAGTTCGTACCCCAACCCTGGGACACCCTGTATATACATATGATAGTTATGTAATTATTTTTTTGTTATTTACTGATTATAACAAAGTAATAGTAACATATAAATAAATATAACATATTATATAGCAAATGTTCTATCTAAGTTACTTTGATCTCCAAAGTAATTTAAATAAAACATTTATCAAGGATAATCTTGAACTTACTGACAAATTTTAGATAACAAAACTATATAATACTTACACAATTATTATGTAACATTTAATGTTATATTTATGTTACGTACTGTGATATTATTTGACTGAAATTATAACTATGTTACACGAACGTTACATGTAACATATATTATGTGTTATATTCCATTATATTTTAAGACAATTGCTGTTTGTTGGGTGTTTTGTAACTTCTTACCTTTCACCCATTATAAGATCATTATCGACAAGAGTAGGTATTTCCTTTTGTGGATTTAGCTGCAAGAGTTAATATAATTTTATTGCTTGGTCTGTTATTTTACATGTTATTTACTTATTTATATATTACTATTTTAAACTTTACCTTTTCGTACTCTTTAGTCATATGTTCACCTTTCCCAAAATCCATGTCAATCAATTCGTACTTAATATCCAAAGCTTTCAACAATTGCAGACATGCGATAGATGGTGGACCATCCGAAATACTGTATAACTTCATGTTGTATCCAGAAGATGCCAAGTATTACAGAATCGTTACAAATCAAATCTATTGTAAAGTAAAAGTATAAGGTGCTATAAATAAATTATTTAACAAAATTAATAAAAAAATGTACTTTCACAAAGGTAAAATTTCAGAAAATTTAAGAAAAATAAATATCATTTAGAAACAGAGTATCGCGAGAAAATATATTAGGTTATAATATTTCGTAGATTATTTTCAAATCTTATTAAGTTTTTTATTTTTTTAACACCATGCTTTTTTATACGAAGTGATTAAAAAATATATATATATATATATAAATAATATAATAATATAACAATAGAATAAACAATATAATAGAATATAAATAAATTATTCGATAATATTACTTACATTATTTAATAGCGCAAGACGAAAATAGCAACTTGCTACGATAGAAATGTAAAAGATACTGATAAGGCTCAAGAGCTTTTCATAGCTGAATTCGGGGAGCGCGCTATTAGAATAATCGCATCATTCTATCCTTAAATTACGAGCAATAAAGATGATAGAGAAATGATAGAGCTGGATGATGTGATAGAGCTGGATAGAGCTAGCGCGCTCCCCGAACGCAGCGCGTGTATCATGTGACCTACTTTGCATTGCATGATATACTATCACTAGCATCCGATAAAATTCATCACTGCAATTGCCTAATTATTTTATGAATTTGCAATTATTTTTACGATCATAAATTGTTTTTAACTGTCATTAATTCAAGTTGTGTATCAATCAACAAGAGTATATCATTATGAGAAAAGATGCATGTGTGATATAACGAAAGATATGTAATATAGTTTGAAAATTACGCGAAATAATATGTAACACTTTTACGAATACATATCATATGCTTTATTTAGTCTCAGATTATTTTGCTGCGCGCGGGTACACAATGTCACAATTGATAACAAATTAATTATTAATTGAGAAACATGTAACAATGGCAGTAACCAAAATGTAATTGTCATATTTCAATAACTAGTCAAGAATTTTATATTTATCACAAATAACAAGAAAGCAAACTGTTATGATAATAAAGTAAACAGTATGCAATAGTCACAAACTTCGCAGAAGTATTTAATATCTCAAATTTCTAATAATAATTAATAACAATAAATAAAACTGCATCTAAAACTTTATTTAAAAACAACTGCGTCTTAGAAATATTTCTTTTATTTTTGTCTCTTCGATATAGAACTTCTGCGAATTCTGTGTGACATTTTAGAAAAATTACTGTCACCTTTGTGAATAAATATATCTCTCGTTACAAAAATGTGGATGCGCAGAATGCGATTAATATACAAGCACATCTATGCCCATAAAATGCATTCTGCATTGTTATATATTATAATAACTTCACGAATTTACATTCGCATCTTGATTGTATACATACAATACATACACTCATGCACACAGACGTTACATAAAATTGTAGGAATAGGAGTTTATACGTTTAAGAGTTTAAAGCTTACACACTTATAGTGTGATAACAAGGACTAAGTTTTTCTTTTTTATTAAATACTAAGTTTTTCTTTTTTCTTTTACTGAAGTACATTGCATTTGATGTGTTATACTCGCAATGTAATATATATGTATACTTCATTAGGATCACAAAAATGTTTTAATAAAGAAAATTAATCGGTCTATATTTAAAAACAAAATATTCGCAAAAAAGTATAAAAATATAAGAGAACAATATAAAAGAATATAAAAGAACAATATATAAAAAACAATTACATGTTATATGTCTCATAATAATTTTATCTCTTTATATAATTATTTTATCCTCTGAATAAATATTTGTTATTGAATGATAAAAAAAGAAAAAAGGAAATGTGACTGCGCAAAGTACTCAAAAACGTAAACTTCATATTCCCTTCTTGAAGTTTCTGTAAAAACGTTGAACATGAACATCTTTTAATATTTATTTTTCGATACCGATTTCCTTTATAAATATTAATTCGCTGGCGATATAACAATATGTAATTTGAGCATGTCTTTGTTGGGACCCACTAAAAAGGGAGACACTACATTTTCCGATACTGAACCTTGTTGTGGATTCAGCTCTTCGAACGGTAGAAGATCATCTAGATTCAGGACACGATCCTTCTTACTGAATCTGTGAATAATTTCAGTAACTCTTGCAATGTGCTCAACGCCATCTTGCAAGCCATAAATTAAAACTCCGATTTTTACCCGCATGTCACTATTTAATGGTTCTTTGCAAGTTAACGATAATCTCACTGATCGCTTGACATGTTCGGGCATCTCCACCGTACCCTGCCACACTATAAGGAAAAATTTCTTGAACCACACGCCCTTGGGATAAATATCTACCACCCACTCGCACACTCTATCGCCTGCATATTCCGCTAAACTGGAGTGACTGGAAAATACGAGTGTCCTCATATGATAAGATGGTAAACTGTGAAAATTCTCTATGGTCAATAATGAGCTACACGTATCAACAGTATAAAGTCTCGGCTCGAACAGCAATGCGCCATCCTCTTCAGTCAGGCTGACTTCTCTCACTCTATCAATTTGACCTGAATGAAAAGACATGCCAATTGACATACGTTCTACGAAAAATTCTTTATATTTCTTCGTTAATGGTGACAGCAGCAAGTCCGCCAATTGTCGTGGCGACATCATCGGGAATCTGACGGGTGACATTACCGCTATCACTAGTTGATGTAACGTTGCTTCTAATTCGTCTGGCGACAGTTGTGCTTTTAAACGACTTGCTTGATGATTTAGCCAAAATTCTAGGCACTTGTAGAGCGTCATCTCATCTTTTATGACTAAACTACTTTGATGCAACAATGACACAAGGATATCTAAATCGAAGTTCCCGAAGTCCGCAGTTTTAGCTACAAGTTCCAAATTCCATTTGATAAAGTTTTGGCACGCTTGGCTGATGTCATGATGTCCGCAATTCAGCGTATATTGCAGCCACGATACCAGAGTGCCGTGTATGGCAGCCAATGCAATGTGATTCCGCATATAATCAAGGCATAATGATATCAAATCTTTGACATTGTACTTATCAGCTAGGGACAATATCGGTAGAACGACACTATGATTTATTCTTATCTGGCCCGTGTAAAAATAGCGCAAAAATTCGCTAAATATTGGTGCACACTGCGGCGTTTCCTGGAGAGTTACCCTGCTTTCTTGAGACTCACTCCATTGTGGACTCATCAGCATTACCTGTAATTCAATTGACACACAAACTGAGTATAGCTTCATGATAAATCTTTATTGTTCCTATACGACATTTGTACTTACTTGGAAAACATCACTAGAAGCACAAAGTATAAGTCGATGTGCTGGATATTCTACACCATCCACAACTAGACAAATATCATTCATAAGACGCTCCGCATACAGTGTTGCTATTTTTAGCAAGACTGTACGTGAATTGTCTACCTATAATTGATAAGATTATTAAACAATGCGTTATTAAATAAAAAATAAGCTTTCAAAACATTGAGTTTTCTGTAATATTCTATACATACCTCTATGGAGTCTGAATTTTCAGATTGTGCGACATTGTTACTAACCGCCACTGATTTCTTGCTGGAATCCATCCTCGACGAACCTGTCATCCACCCAATAGTAGTCCGCAACATCTGCACATGTTTTCTCGACGTATTTATAATTCAATCCTTGCTCAACAAAACCAACAAGAACATCTCAAGATAACAGACTGCTTCCATAGATGTTTCCATTATTACAATCAATAAGAAATCTTCTTATGAAAAAAATTATATCTGTATGGAAGTAAAATCCTATGAATATTTGTAATATAAATTATGTTACATAGATACACACATATATGAATTAATTAACTTATAAATATCTATCTAATTATATGTATATATGTATAAAATTTTAATATTTTTATCAATTATGTCTATTAATTTTAATCTTGGTTTGATTTATTCTTTCTAATATTCTTTCTAAAAATTCCTAGAACCACTTTCTAAAATTTTTAGAACCAAGAGAAACTGAAGTAAATTCAACCGAGATTAAAGTTAATTTATATTAGAAAAAAAATGGACCTATATGATAGACTGTTTGAGGTTATAGTGATGATTGTCCTAAATATAAATTATCTAATGGCCAAAGAAATGCTAGAATCTTACCGGACTGAGCGTTAGAGAAAATAGAAGGATTGTCAATTTCTGAGTGATCGATAAATCTAAATAAATTGAATTCGAAAAATTTTGCAGAATATATGGTGATTCAGGAATTTCTGAAATGAATTTCTGAAATTTTTTTTTCTTACTAATAGCGTCACAAACGGTTGTTTAACTCAGCAATGTCTCTCGCTTACGATTTATGCTAAAATTGATTAATCCATATAAATAAACCGCTTATAATTAACATCCCGATAAATTTTCTCTTCAAATTCTCAGCACAGATGACATATCGGCGCAACTGTTATGTGTATGAGTAATGTCAATACATACATACCTTCGATATCGCGAAAGCGGAATTGTTACTGGCTGTCATTGGCGAATGAGAACCAGATGTTTTTCGATAAAACCATTCCCTGACATTTCCCACACAGAAAAATGCTCCTTTATTCTAGGGATAACTCCGTTTCTCCGGAGTTCCATAAACTGAAATTCTCCTCCTCCATCGCAATACTGCCATGATCACGTGATCAACCTAACCGAACAATATGAGATAGATTGTGTATATTAGGGCTTTTAAATATTATTCGGATATTTAAAATTGATTTCAATCTGAAGATCTAAAATCTCATTCTTTGTATTATTAAATAATCCAGATATTTTAATTATTTGGACTTGGAATTATAATTTAAATTATTCGAATCCGGATCTAAATTCGAATCCGCATCTGAATTTGAATTTAAATTTATATTGGGAAAAGAAAGTAACACCAATGTATGCATGTGTGTGTATTTCTAAAATAATTTGAATAGTTTGAATCTATATTTCTTTTAATTATAATATTCTTTTTTTTCATTTTTATACATGATTATTAGATCCAAATCCGGATTCACTCTATTGTCTGTGATAAAATAACTTTTTTTACACAAAAAACTAACTTAAGCCGGTGGCATATGATGCTTTTTTGGCTGCTGGATTGCTTATGTCTTTCGGATGGAAAGATTTCATGGTATTAGGCATTCTTAACTGTTGGGAAATTGTTTGTTGCAAATCTTGTTGATGTATTGACGTAGGACTGGAAGATGTTGAGCAACAGAGATATATACTTGTTGTTGGTGCTGCGAAGAATTAGAAATAGTTAGATCAGAAGCAAGGAGAGTGAGCGTGGCATAGTAGACAGTGCCCTGATCCACTGTGCTAAAAGTCCCGGGTTCGGGTTCCCGGCAGAACTAAAAATGTTTTTCATACCCTCGTGTCTGCCTGGATTATCTTTACATTTGATTTACTACTGTTCATCCTTGTAAATATTTATAAATTCTTCCAAGCACTTTTTTTTATTCTTTTAAATTCTTCCAAGCTCTATGATTAGTCAACTTTAATCGCTAATAATTTAAAAATTATTATAGCCTCGACATTTTTGTATTAGAATTTTCGTCTTATTTTTAACTCAGGAATTTCTCATAAAAATTTCGGTCGCGGATTGTGGGACGACCGTGTGTGTGTGTGTGTGTGTGTGTGTGTGTAGTACACATATATACATGTATATTCTCAAATCCTCACAATTGGTACTTCAGAGCGATGTTGGTCTCTCACTCGACGGAATCAAGATGCATCTTTAGATCATGTGATCAAAATGATATTCCCTTCAAATATCAGATATTTTATCATTTTTCTGTTTGCTACAACTTGTCAAAATAAAAATAAATATGATGAAAGAAAAATAAATATGTCAATATGTGCTTTCTAGAAAATTCTAGCTACTCAGCCAGCACGAAAACTCGCATCGTGTGAAGCTAAACTAGCAAGACAGCCAGTATCGTTGTCAGCAGCATTGCCATCACGACAGCAAGTATGCAAATCCAGCAAGAAATTTAGCAGCCAAAAAAATATCGTGTGCCACCGACTTTAAATAAAAAAAAAGCTAAAAAGAAACAAAACTAAACTTTAAGAAAAAAACTAAATTACGAAATTAAGCTTAAGAACAAATTACTATTTAATTATAAAACTAAACTTAAAAAAAAACAATTGTATTATGGATGTTAGAATATCTTTATTATTACATCTGTGTTTAAAAGACATAACTTATTTATAAAAATATGGGAGAGCGCGGGTACAGCAGGGTAGAATAAAATAAGACCGAAAAATTCTTAGTCTGCTTATAGAATAATTAAGACTAATAAAACTCAGTACTTTTTACAAGTTACAAGGAATAACAAGATCTAGCGTAATAATCGGTCTGTTTATCTACCTTATTGTAAATAATTGTAAATTATTATAACATAATGTTTAGAATCATATCGCTTTTTTAACACAGAATGATGGTGCGTCAGAGAGCAGTTGCTGTTTAAATTTTAAACACATGGTAAAGTCATTTTTGCATGTCCAACAGTTTACATTATATACATATCTATGTATTGCTAATTCGTGTTAACAAATCGATCGCAGATCTTATTCAATACTATCTGTATTTTGTTACTTTTTTAAAGATTGTACTTTTTCTTTGCACCTTTGTGCGATTGATTTCACTTGTGACGCAATATTATAAAAAAAATAATTAAATATATAATTATACACATACGTATATATATGTGTGTATAGTTTTGTATAATTTTCTTAAAATACTTATCTCTCTATACAAAAATATTCTTTTTGTTTATACTCTCATTCTCATTACTTGGTAAAATTCACATCAATTTTTCATGATGTGTGAGGCAGTTCTAAAGATATGTAATTTGTTATAAAATTGATACAGATAAAACAAATCCTCTTTCTGGAGGATGTATGTTTATAAAGCAAGCAAATGTGTGAAATTATGTTGGACCCATAATATGCTCAACTGGAAAAAAAGCTCCGTTACACCGTTGTATGCAATTCAAAATTGCATCAAGAATCGCACTCATGACAATCCCTGATGCAATAATAAACTGCATATGATATAAAATACGTTTATGTGATAATAATATGATGAAGGAAACATGATTATTTTATGCAATACGTCTTACGGAAGTATAGCAATACAGTGCTAAACTTTATATAATATATAAAAAAATATGTAAAAACAGTTTGTACAAAAATTCAGGAAAGAAAAGATAATTATATAAAAGTACTTAAACAATAAAAGATGAGCGAATAAAAAAGATGAAGGAGTATTTACATTTACATTTCATCTTTCAACATAAGATTTAAAATAGAACTTCTTTCGACGATTTCACAAACAGATCGTACCAAAGATACCAGTAATGTCCTTCGTTAACATACGAAAATATATCACTGGCAATATATTGCAAAAGCGCGCGCGCACGAACTTTCTTCAGCCTGCAACAATAGTTCATTTTCTTTCTCTTTTTCTCTCGCACATATATTCACACATAATACACATACGCTTCCTCTAACTATCTACTTTTATTTCTACCTCGCAACAATTTCTAATACGTCACGATTACTCATTACGCGTACTATCCGTATGCGCCATGAACGTACGATTACTTTAAAAATGCTGTTTTGGCTTTGGCAGAAAAGAGACCAGAGAACCATCCTACCGCTCCGCGCCGAGTACTTAATTTAAGACGATCGATACATCTACAGATTAATATTAACGATTATCCTAGTTCGTTTAATGATTTCCCGAGAGACTTAATAGCGCGAGTCCTGGAAGGATTGAAAAGGAAAGATAGAACAAAAGAAAGAAAAAAAAAAAGATTGTTGGCGCGCCATACGCAATGGAATGTCTATGTATGGAACGATGCTCCGCGAGCGTAGGAACGAGTTCTCTGAAGCTCCCGTCAACCGTACAGATTATAAACGTTGTCTCTTCGCCTTACATTACATTACATTTAGTTACATTACATTACATGTTGTCAGCACAACTGACATTTCTATTACATCAACTAGTGATAAATGTTTAATCTATTTAGAGGCCATTTGGAAACGCTGCGTTTCTTCCAATATAATTTAATAATAGATTCACCTATAGAACCTACGTGTCTCATATTCTACGGAATCCGAAGGCACAATTCATGATTTATTTTTGATATATGTTACATCTGCATTTAGCAAGAATTGATTAATAATTATCACACGATTGCATATATATATTTGTAAATATATTTGCATAAAAAAAATCATATAAAAAGTACGATAAAAAAAAAGAAAAATTAGAAAAGTTCACATGTGTAATTGAATTAAATAAAGTACTGCATGTTACATGTAGTTAGCTCCGTGGAATAACAGACACAGTGGCGCGAATGATAAATCTATTGCAATATGTACAATTATTATGGAGTAGCAAGGTCTCGTTCCCTTACTTATTATTGTCCATTAGAGGTCTTCACATTGGCAAGTTGAAGGCACCATTTATTCATTGAGCTGTGTACGACGTCACGACAATAAAAATCAATAGATATCAAAAAATATACTACAAATACATATACAAATACATTATAAGTGAATTTCTCTGTGCGTATATTCATTATGCCGTTATAAACAATCGTTTGAAAGGCTTTTATCAGATACGTTTTATAAATTGTGCGTTCTCCTTTTCAGTTGCAATTTTCTTCAATATCACGTAGAGGCACAATCGGTTTTACAATTTGAATACATCTTATAACATCTCCTCTTCTATTTTTAATATACATACATAATCGTTCACCTATATACGCATCAGTGTTAAGTATATTGAATTGATATTTGAGTGTATATTGAATAGTGTGATTAAATATAATTAATAATTAACAAATAAATTTATATTTGACGAATAAATGATTAATTCATAAAAATTAACAAATATTTGTAATTATGTATATGATGTATATGATAAATTTATATTACATATATTTATGTAATTATGTATATATATATATATATATATATATATATGTGTGTGTGTGTGT